GGGGAGCCCCGGCTCGGCCCGCGCTACCACGGACAGCTCCCCGGACGCGGCTCCCCGGACGCGGCTCCCCGGACGCGGCCCGTGCGCTAGGACGCAGGAAATCGGTAAGGTCTGGCGTGGTGCTGGGGAAGGCGGGCGGACCGCTAAGGACAGCGTGTGCAAAGGGCCTGTGGCGCAACGGAACCGTCGCGGCTCATCGGGCTGGGCCCGGGGCCCGGTGGACACAGGGCCTCGGAGCTCACGGGACCCGGCCAGCGGCAGCGCCGGGGCTGGGTGCCCGACACCCACCTGCAGGCCCGGCGTTGTCCCCGCTCCCGCACGCCGCTAAGCGAGTGCGGGGAACGCTCACGCGTCTGACAAAACGTCCTTTGTCATGTTAGGGTCCGTGACATCTAATGGGCAATACGGAATTTTGTAACTTACTTTCATTTAAAACTAATTACGGCCAAAATGTTATTCAAGATACACTTTTCATTGCCTGTATTTTTTACGTATTTACAAGGAACGTGCTGGAAAGCGTGAATGACTGCAGCAGAGCCCGCGAAGCAGGAAAGAGCGAGTGAGCGTCCACGCACCCGGGGAGGCGCGACGGTCACGCCCGGGAGGTCCTCGCCAGCGCCCAGGCTGTCGCTGCCTTCGGACACTTGGGCAAACGCGCCCCCCGCCCCGCTCCAAGCTTAAGCCGCTTCGGCACCGCGGCGGGCGAAGCTCGATGTCACTGTGCACGCGCAGACGCACGGGACCGCCCGCGGGGGGTCTCGCCTGCGGGGGACACGGATCACGTCTGCCGCGCGCTCCGCATCCTCCGGGCTGCAGGCCACACGCGTCTGCAGAGGGCGCGAAGCTGTTTCCCAGCTTTTCCCCAGCGCTTCGCCCTCAGCTTATCAGCAGTTCCGCGGTTTCCATGTCAACAATTCCGTTTCCTGTCAACACAGAGAGGGAGCGCCAGCCACGTGCCGGGGCGAGGCCCCTCGTGTCCCCTGGAGACACCCTCGAAGATGCCACCAGAAGCCCCTTTCCGCCCCTGACTCTACGTCTGGCACGACTCCTTTTTCAACTTTTACTTATAAGGATTAAAAGACAACTACTCATCCAGTATAAATATAAAACAGAATCTTTGTTAACTCCTGGACTTGGCAAAAACGCTCTTTTACACCCTGCGTACAGCTCATTCATGTAAGTGTCAAAAAAAAACCGTTTTAACTTAAGTAGCCCAAGCTTCCAACTGTTTGATAGCATCATCATCTTCTTCCGCCATCCTGGAAGATGCTAGAACATAAAAGGGGTAAAAATTAGTAACAGGTGACATTCACACTTTCAGCATAGAAAGCAGGTGTAAATTATGTATAAAAAGGTATACACTCATGGAAAAAAAACTAAGTGCTCAAAGGGATAGGGCCGGCTGTCGTCTGGGCAACCACGTGACCGCAGGCCGTGAGCCGGGGACACACCTGGTCGGGGCCGCTGTGCAGTGGCCGGCATGCCCGGCCTCCGCCCTGGCGTTCTGTCTGGCTGGGCTGGGAGGGAAGTGGAAGGCACATTTGGAAGTCGAACATTTGTCATCTTCTTATTTAATTCTTCCTGTTCCAGTTCTTCAAGTTCTGCCATCAACTCATCCTGAACGCAGGAGAAAGAGAGAATTATGGCGTCGACGTTTCAAGCCCCGGCTTTCCTCAATAACGAGAACATCTGCTACCCAATTGATATGTGAGAACCCAGTGAAATGGAATATTTATTTTAAGACTAAGCCTTTTTTGCAACACTGAGCAATGATTAAAAATGAATATTTTGGGTTGTGCAAATTGGTTGTAGTTAATCTTATAATACTTCAGTAAACAGTCATTCAAGTAATTTGTGTTCGCCGAACACAAAACCTCCACAGTTTCCAAGAAATTTACACCTTGTCTGTCACCTTTCCAATGTATCTTTTCTTTCCTGCTGTTAAAAATTAAGAATCTGTGAAACTTTCACTAGCGGAAACAGATATTTTCATTTGCGCTAATGCTGTCGAAATAACGCAACAGATATGACAAACACAGAATTTACAGAAAGCAAAAAGAATCAAAGATAATATAGCTCTTTTGTTAATCACCAAAACCCACATAAATCGTGCTGTGTTTAGCTTAAGAAAACATCACCTCAAGGTTGGTGTACTGTATCTCTTTCTTTTCACAATAGTCCCCCAAAATCTGCTTTAATCCTAAACTACTCTCTGTCCCAAGAACCTTAGAAATGCTAGCCCAGTGAGAGACTTTCAAGGGTCTAAGTCGCCTATGACAGATGGCAGATGACTTGAAAGAGTTCAGATCTAACTGGCTTTATGGACCTTTGGGTCACGCACAGTCCCCCGCCCCCTGAGAGAGGTTGGTACTTTAAACGAAATTTGTCACTGTTAGAATTCTGAGGCTGTCCTTACGTGTGACCTAAGACACTCTGATAGTTGGCCAAGGATTATCTTCATGTGTTTATTCATTTGTTCACGATCGAACAAGTTTACTGAGCGCTCACACCTGCCCAGGTATTGAACTCAAACCTGGGAGTGCAAAGTTGAGCCAAGTCGCTACCTTGAAGGGGCTTATTATCGAAGGTGGCAGAAAAACACATAAGCAGATAATTAATTACCCTATAATAGGGTAAATACCCTATTACCCTAAGATGACAGTAATAATACTACGAGCCGAGAGAGGAGCTGCCTAACCGACCGCATTTGATCAAGTCCACGTGCATCAGACGTGCAGCAGGTTAATCGGCCGTCTGACCGCTGATAAACCTACCTCACGGAAAGGAAATAAAGCATGGAAGTGAACGTGGGATAGTGTGCCCGGTCGCTTCGCGCTTTACGGTTCCTCAGGGGCCGTAGGAACAAGCACCTTCAGGATGAATACTCAGGTCTTATTTCGCCAAACAGTCAGGAACAAATACAGTAAATACGGTGATGGCAGAACACGCTATCCTGACTGAACGTGCTCCCGGAATTACCAGTAATGCTTGACAGTTATCGACAGCTCCATAAAAGAATTTTAGAATTTAAGAAACTTTGGAGCTAAGAATTTAATCAACTTTGGTGATTTAGTAATTTCCATTTTGTAGATGAGAAAATTAAGGAGCAGAAAAGTGAAGGACCTTACACGAAGTTCACTAACAAATGGCAGATATCGTCGTGAGCCCAGAGCCTTTGAAGCTCATTAGTCGAACCAGGGCTGGGCAAACTTTTTGTAAAAGGCCACATGGCACTATTTTACGCTTTGCAGGCCGCGTATGGTCTCTGTCACGGTGTTCTTTGTTGCTAACGCTATCAGTTTTCTGCAACCCTTTATACACGTCAAAACCATTCCTTCCTCATAGGCCACACAAAAAAGGGCCATGGGAAGGATTTGGCCTGAATTTGGCCAAAATTTTCTGACTCCTACGCTACACCATTTTCAAAGGCTGCTGACACCCAGTTCTCACGCTGTGATCCCGTGGGACCACACTTCCCTTACCTGATGCACCATTTTTAACTCCAGGGAGGTGCAGGAAGCCCGATCCTTCTCCACCCTCCCCTGGGACCTGGGAGCGTTTCGAGGTCTGTGCTGGTCCGCCCTGTGTGTGCTTTGTGTAGAACGACCAACATTCACAGTGCAGATGCCACCACAACAATCACGGGCTGTCGGAGTGGGCTGATGAATCTCAGTGGAACGCGCGTGTTAATGATGCCGGTCTACATTTACTGTTTGACACCCCAAGCAGCAAACAGAGGCGGCCTAAGCTCTAGTTTAACGCCAGAGCGCGACGCGTCTGTTCCGGGCACAGAGACACAGTCTATTTTGTTCTGCCCAGATGTGCAAGCTCCCCATTCCTCTCCGTAATGGGCTATTTAGGCTCCGACCATTAAAAGTCACTAACTTTACATAATCGCAGGCTGCGCTTCCTTAATAGCTAAAAACTTAACAAGGGGACTGTTTGCCAAACCGTATTAATCTTGCCTTTAAATCAGACCTACCAACACTTCATTTCCCTCTTAAGTACATTTCTAGCAAATATCGTTTACTCTTTGACGATCCTTAAGGAGCTGTGTCAGGAACCCGCCTGGCATAAATGGCGGGCATTATCCTCTGCAGAGGCCACGCTGCGCCATTTTTCACATCGCGTCACCCACCTCATCAAAGCCATCGCCAAGTCCGACCCGTTGGGAAAAGGCTTCTGAGATTTCCTGGGCGACGTCTTGCTGCTCTGTGATCTCTTGCATCAAATCATCTATTTTGTTCAGATCCCTGAGAAATAACATTTTGTTGAAGTACTTTAGAATTTTACTTTAAAATTATGAATTTACACATAATCCCATATGAAAAATGAGTCAATCGAATATAAATTCGTATTTCGGTAGGGTAGCAAATATTCCTGGCGATGACATTTATCGACTTTAAAAATCATCTGCATTTCAAAAAAATGAATAATGCTGTATATGTGCATACCTTTTAAATATTAAATAAACAGCCTTTACACTAGGAAGTCACTAGAGAGCAAATTATTTTGTAACTAACAAGATATTTGTAGACTCATCTTGAAATTTTGTCTTATAGGGCATATGTAAAATTTAAATATCTCTGCAGGAAATGGAGCCGTGGACCCCAAGGACCACCATAACTAAAATAAGCTGGGGAAGCTCTCGCCTTCTGGAGAAGCTGAATTCTGGAACTAGAGGACTATTCTCCAGAACTGCACTGGGAAGTGACATTGAAGGTGGGACGAGGCCTGTGAAGCCCACAGAAGAACCAAAAAAACACAATTGGATGATACCGCTAAACCACCTGGAGAGAAAGACTATGATTCTGTGATGAATTTTAGCACCCCGCTTACGACAAGGGTCGAGGATTTTGACTTTGATAGTGAATATGATGATCTTTCCGAAGCTGTCACAATGATGGCTGACCATCAATAAATTGTCAAAGCAGAAGAATGTTAGCAAAGGTGTCTTCCTGACCCCAGCCTCCGCCTCTTCACCTTTTCACACCCTCTGGGCGCTCACTACTCTGTGACCTTACTGTCACATTTAATCTCCGGAAAGGATCAGATCCCAGGCACTGATCTCCCAGTGCGAATGCAAAGCAAACTGTCACTAGCCCCGCTTACCTCTATGAATATTGGTCATTGATTGCTTACTCCATACCAGGAACTAAATGCATCGTATCCAGCATCTCACTGAATCTCACGGTCACCACATCCGGCAAATAGCATTATTATTCACACTTACAGATAAGGACACTGAATAAGGAGCCGCAAAGTCCTCTGCCCAAGGGTAGCCTGCGTGCAACTGGGGTTGTGACCCAGAAACTCTGACCCCAAGTCCACGCTCATAACTCTCACTCTGTGTCAGCGGTTCTCAGCATGGGTTAGTGTCGCATAGCATCAGAATCACCTGGGGACTTGGTTAAAAACAGGAAGGCCCAGTCCCGGCCCTTCTTCAAGAGGCCTGGGCATCTGCGTTCTCATCGGTAGATTTCTAGGTGACTGATTCCCACCACAGTTTGACAACATCGTTTCTCAGTTCTAACACCCTCCCAGGTGTTGACATTTAAGCCTTTCTTAAAATTATCGAATGAAAAGTTACAGACGGGAGCGTCAGACAACAGCGAGGCGACTGGGAAGTGCTTAGGGCAAAACGAAACATTCTTCGTGTTTTCACGTTTTGTTTTGTTTGTTTGGTTGGTTGGTTGTTTTTGCCACTATGACTTCTAACCTTTCTCTGAGGGAGCATTCCATTCCAATGCGTCAAAGTGCCTCAAAAGGATCGGCCCATCCCAGCCCGAATCGTCACCCAGCTCCCAACACCGAGGCCACTGGTGACTGCGAGGGACGGCCGGGTCACTCACATGTTCTCGTGGACGGCCTTCATGGCTTTCGCGGCGAGGCCCATGTTCCTGAGCACCTCGGCGTTGGTGTGAGAGTTCTCCAGGGCCTCTCGCTGGAACTCGATGGTGGACAGCGTGCCGTCGATCTGAGTGAGCTGCTTCTCCAACCTCTTCTTTCTCTTGAGTGCCTGTAATGCAGCTAAATAAGGGAGAAGCCGTGTTTATAAGCAGAGAGAGCCCAGCCACTGACTCGACTGACATTTGCTCAGTGCCGACCAGGGACTCGGCACTGTCGACACCTACAGACAAAGGGGAGACCGGGAGGGGACGCGGAGACACCAAAGGGCCAGACCGTCTGTCCACGGCCCGCCCCAGCTCTTGCTCACTCAGACATTCGTTATACTCTTCTTCCCAAGACCTGGCGCGTGTCGGAGGAGGAAAAGTCAATTTTCACATTCCACAAAATACACCACAGAAACGCTTCTGTCAGTGCCGGATTTTTGAAAAGGGATAGATGTAAAAATATGAGTAAAAATCATGCAATAGAAAAATAAAACTTTAGAGAAAGAACTTTAACGACTGTTTACTCTTATTTCAAAGGCAAGTTAGTTGAGACTCGGAGAAGTTAGGTGACCCGCTTGAAGGCAGACCGTCCAAAACCTAGGTGTCCACACCGCGTGTCTTGGTCTGAAATGATCATGAGATGGTCAGGAAGGTTACATCCAGCCACGAGTGCCCACGAGTGCTAGAGGGTCACACCCAAGGATCAGGCGGCAGGCTGGTGGCAGAAGCGCTGGCCTCGGAGAAACGACATCTAAATACACTCCCATCGGCACCTGAGCAAAATAACCTCACCAGCTTCATTCAGAAGTCACGAAACTCTGACCGTGGCGCCTTGGAAGGCACCCACAAGAGAGACCCTAAAATGCGAGATTCGATGAGGCATTTGGCAAAGGTGCAGGAAACGAGCAGCAGGAGGATGTGGATATAAAGACGATTAAATGGAATTGGCAAAAGGACCCAGATACGCTTATGGTTTCCTGGTGAAGCACGTTATCGCAACGGATTTCTGAGAGAAGGCTCTCTTCAGTTTCGCTCAATTTCTCCCTATAATTCCAACAGGTTTGGTTTATTTATTCCAGTGCCTTTCGTTGGGTGCACAGAGACTCAGTCACTATACTTTCTTGTTGGATTTTATTGGCAATCGATAGGAGATATTACTCTCTGTCCCATTTAATCTCTTTTTTTTGTCTTAAATTCCATTTTGTTTTATATTTAAATTAATATTTCAACTTTCTTTTTGTTACAATTTGCCTGTAATAATTTTATGGGGACCTCTATTTCAAAATTGTCTTTTATTTGCTTTTTTCCAGTATACTTATTACAGATAGCATGTGCTTGGATATTTAGTTCGTGTGACCTTTTTTAACCATTTGACCATTCAGATGGTCTCTTTCATTTAACGTTAAATTTTAACTCATTCTCATTTATGGTGACAACCAATATATCATCTACCATGATCTTTTTATTGTCATCCTTTCTGTGTTTTCTGTTTGTTATATTTACTGTTTTCTTTTCACTTTCTTGTCTTTATATAGATTGATCAAATTTTCCTTGTTCTTTTTCTTTAATTTGTGGACAGTTACATATACTAAATTTATTCTTCTAATGGATACCCTGGCTTTTAAAATATATAATTAAATTTAAGTATTCTATCCATATGACAATTAATCCATATTTTATGTATAATTTATTGTTCCCAAACGAGATTCTTTCCAACCCCAAACTTTCCAATGTTTGATTAACACGATGTACAATTTTATTAGTTCCAGGTGATTACTGGCTGTTTTTTATTATCTTTCCAATTTTTAAGGAAACCTTTCTTAGCAATTGCATTAAGCTTGACAGACACGATTTCGACAGTTATTTGCACTAAAGTATAGCGTCGCCGGCTTATTTTCCCACTCTCGCTTCTATATCTTGCATCATCCTTTTTTGGGTTAATTTTTTTACCTTACCAAAAGAAATTAACTACTTTTTCAGAAAAGGCACACAAATATAAATTCTCTAAATTCCTATAGGTCTGAAAATGTCTTTGTTTCAGACGCAAATGATGGTTTGGATTTTTATAGAATTCTAGGTTCAGAATATTTAAAAACTGTTAAGATGCTATTCCCTCGTCTCTGGGTAACCGATACTTGGAAGTTTGAAAATAATCTTCTTCTCATCCCTTTGTAGATAATCTGTTTCCTTGTCTCCTCTCTGGGAACATTTAAGATTTTCTTTTTTATCTTGGAATTAAGAGATTTCACCAGGCCTAGGCATGATCTTTTTTCTTTTCTTTTCTTTTTTTCTATGCCGTGAGGAAGTAAGCATTCATTGAGTATTTTCATTCCGTAGAGTTATGTCTTCCTTTGTCATCCTGTGGAAACCATATTCTTGAATATTTTTTTCCTTCTTTCGCCTGCATTAATTCTGTCCGCTCTCCTCTGAAGTTCCTGTTCCTGGTCCTACTGTTACGCACACAGTGAGCCTGCCCGACCACTCTCCCTGTCCCCTCTCTTTGGAAATCCCTACGGGACGGCGTCGGACCCCATGGGTCCGTGCTGCCGTCTCCTAGTGCACCTCTCTTTGTCCCGTGTTCGGGGAGAATTCCTTACCTTCATACTCCAGATCACGAACGAGTCTTCAGCTCTATTTATTCTACTTTTATCCTCTTTTATTTATTTGTAATTATGTTTTTAATTTCTAAGCACTTTTGCTCCTCGCTGTTCATTCATGTGGCGGCTCATTCTTCTCTCCTAATGCCATGGCCTCTGGACTCTCCATGAAGAATAGTAATAGAAGTTTTGTCTTTAACATTCTTTATTTCTTACATTATCTCTCTTTTCTTGAGTTCAGCCGTTTGCTTTGCTTCGTCTTGATCCTTGATGCAATTACCTTTCCTCAAAATTCTTCTGATCTTGTAGTATAGGGTCACACGTATAAATAAGACTAGAATAGCTAGTACGCGCTCATGTGCCTCTTGCAGTGACAGAAGCGTGTCTCCCTGGGGAGCCTTGGGAGGGAAGGCTGCCCAGAGCCAGCAGGCAGGCTTCCTTTGGTGGCTGGAGGGCAGGTGCAGGCTAGCAGTTCCTACAGTGGCCGGAGAAACACTTTAACGTGGGTGTGGGACACTCATCTGGTGTCTTTGCTTCCCCACCCTACCCTGCCCTTTGGACTGTGGAGGCCCAAGGTAACGGCTCGGCTGCTTCCCTTCCCAGAGGCGACACGTCGCGAGCGAAGCGCTTACAGAACCTTACGTACACCTTACTCACAGAACACTCTCTCTTTGTTTAAGCTTTTGCTTAGGAAAGACCTGAACGACTTCTTCAAAGTCGCCTGGCACAAAGGCCGTTCGGCAGCGTCACTCCGCAGAGAGGCTCACCGCATCAGTGACCAGAGCTGTCTGAGGGTTTTCTCGCACGGGGCGAATGGCCAGTTGCCCCCCTCTGCCTGCACCCCGTCTGCAGACGCTTATCTACAGCGTATTATAATTACTCGTACAACCTGCTCCAGCTCACCTCCCCCATGCTAATTACAAGCCACGCGAGCCAAGATTCTCCTCTCCTGCTTCCCCAGCACCGAGCATATGGCCAGCGAAACACAACAACGTGATCGATTGTTTGCTACGTGCCATGCTGGCGCGAAGTGCTTTATGTGCCATGACATTTATGTCATTAGCGCTCACGAAAACCCCAAGAGCAGATACAATTATTGGCCTGTTTTACAGAAGACGAAATGAATGTTAAATGAACACATCGGACAGCTTTGTGCACCTGGCACAATGACAGCATGGTGGCGTTTGAGGCCCGAGCGCGACTCCTCCTTCCGTGACTGGGACGTGTGCCCCTGCGTAAGTCACCTCCCTTCTCTGAGCTTCAGCTTGCGCTTCTGGAAATGGGGATACAATCCCCACCAGGCTGGGTGACTTTTAAGAATTAACGATAATTTATGGAAAACACTTTATACAGTCCCTGTGCATGGCAGGGACTTAGCCACTCGATATTATTACTAATAACATCAATGCATTAATAATGATTAACATTCATGAATGATAGAGATTGCGCATCTTACTTCTGAGACCGCCGAGCAAGTTACGCGTTCTTTTTCCCCGTCAGTCACATGACAGGAACAAAATGCTCCACATTTCAGGAGGGGCTCCACGCGAGGGGCTCCAGCACAGTGCCACCGTTCACACTGAGAAGCTACACCCCGAACGCACGTCGCCCCCCACCGTACCCAGAGCCGATGTCAGAAGTATCCTCTTCCCTCTGGTCAGGCCGGTTCGCGTCTACACTTATTTGGAAACTAACTATTAACCCAAAAGCATTCTCCTTTTTTTTTTTGAGAAAAAGTTTTAAAGTTCTCCATTAGAAAGTACGCCATGTTTCTTCCTGAGAATTAACTTTAGGTTACTTTCTAAAAAATCAAGAAATGCAATTTGCTATGAAGGATGCGGCTTTGGAGCCGCCGGACCTGCACGTTGGTCCCGTCTCTGTCGGTTAATGACGGTGTGTGACAACCGTGACGGGCGACCTCCACTCTCCCTAAGTGAGGTTCCCTCATTTGAGCAGCAGCCACGACGAAATGTGCAAGACATCAGAACACTGTATGCTGGAGTCAGCGCTCCGGCTTCAGATCCTGGCTGTCGCATAAAGTGTTTAGTGTGGTGCCCAGCACGCAGCGAGTGCCGGCTAAACGTTAGGGACTTTATAATCATCATCATAACCTCCTTCGCGGGCTGCCAGAACCTTCCAGCAGGAGTCACATGGTGTAATGCCTGACCCCGCAATTGTTTGTTGTTAATAATAATAAGTTCTGCTTTGGACACAATCTTAAATGCCTCTGCTTAACATATGGCTTCTGCTCTTCAAAATATTTGAGAGAAACTTGAAAATGTACCCAGAGTCGAGAGATCCCGACTTACGCTATAATTACCACACCACAAACTACAGACTGGCCTGGGCAGAGCCAGCTCGGAGAAAGCGGGCAGGTGAGGGTGGGGGTGGTGGCAGTCAAAGGCCCTCTTTGTTCTCACCTGTGAGAGAGAAAACACAGGGGGATGTTCCTCTACTCTAACAAAAGCAGATCGTGCAAGGGCGGCTATAAATGGCAGTGGACACTGGCCCCGATGTCAGGGTGTCAACAGAAAGCATG